TCTAATATCTTCCAGAAACATTGTCCTGTAACTCAATTTCCATAAACCTTCAGTCCAGATGACCAACAAATATGCTAGCTAAGGGATTTTGGAATTTCCTGACATTGCATGTGCAGATCAACTGCTTCCATAATAGCTATTTTGGTGTGTTGGTTGTCTCAGGACTATCAGTTGAGTTCTAGGTGTCTATGCTCCACTTTATTATAGTTGCGTGAGCTTACTTCAGGTATGAATTTTCCTAAAGTACTCCAAACAATGGCAGAGAGACAAGGGTGCTGCTCTCTCAGTCTCCATCCTTATTGTCCCCATAGGCAGGGTGACACTCTGCAGTGGGAGCTGTTATGTTTGCATAGGCTGCCTTGCATAGCTTTCCCTCTAGAAGCTTGAGAAAGCTCTCCTGACTGGGTAATGAGATCCTGGTGGATTTTCCAGGCTGTTCTGCATCAGTTGGGAATTTAGATATCTCAACAGTCAATGTTGGATGACTGCATAAATTATTAGGGTTTTTTAAAAAAAATAAAAATGGATATCTGACTCACTCTTGCAAATGAAGTGACCGGTATGCCTGGGGCCCTAAATTAGAACATATATCATTTTGCAGTTATTAATTTGGGCTGGCACCTCTCTTCTCTCACTTCTTATTTTCTGGCTGAAATTCTCACAGCTCTGCCAGTCCCATCTATCACTTGGAGACAGCTGTACCCATTGGCTTAGAAGGGATCCATTGAATACTGCTCTACATATTGTCTCAGCCCTGAGGCAAAATCTGTTACAAACATAAATCTGTTGTTGTTTTTCTCCCCCTCTTTCCATGAGCTCATTTATCACATGTAACAGGGTTTAAATTTATCCAAAATGCTCCCACAAGTAAAATTCCCCACAAGTAAAATCTGAGTCATTGTGTTCCAGTTCGACAAAAAATAAAAATAAAAGTACAACTCAGAAACCAGCAGAAATGTCATATAGGTTCCATGCAGACATATACCAATAAGTGAGGTAGGAAATTGATTAAGTAAGTAGCTACAGGAGAGATGAGCAACTCGTAGCCCAAATATTATGATATTTCTAATTTCTAGTCTTCATTTGGAACCTCACTGAAATTATATAGGCCTAGCTGGATCAGAGGCTGCCTGGGAAATCTCATGTATGCTGTCTTAATTTCAAACATGGAAGAGAGATAGGATATAAAGGCCATAACTATATAAAATGAAGCCAGTTTGGGACACTGAGTATGACTTAATGGAGAAGAGTTGTACACTCCTGCTCTAGGTGACCACCCTACATTTTCAGTCTGTTCTATTAGGAAAGTTTAAATTGCAATTTATAAAATTTTTGTTTATTCTGGAAATCTTTTTTTTTTTTTTTTACGTTTTTCATGTTTCAAGTAAATCTTGTGAGAGTCTGCTCCCATGTGAGAGTCTTAGTGATCTTTATTACGGTAACTAATTTTCATTGTTGTCCAAGCCAGAACTCAGTTTGATGGAGAAAGGGGTTTAATGTGTGCATTAAAGATGGTAAAGTACTTCCCCTAAGGAAATTATCAGGTATCTTCCCACTGAAGTACAGAAATCATCCACCCATCAGAAAGTAAGTTTCCCAATGCTACGGTGCTTCACAAAAGTGACAGAATCTGGTTTATAGATTTGATCACGTGTCTTTAAGGAAATATGTATAGGTATATGCCCAGCTTGGTAGGACTACCTTGCCAAAGGTGGTACCAAGCCAAAACCTGAACGCTAAGTAGGGTCAGACTTAGTTAGAGTTTGCAGGGGAGTCTTCCAAGGAAAAATGCTAGACAGAGATGTAAAAACAAAAATCCTAAAAATAAGAAGGTAATGGCAAACCATTTTTGTATTGTTACCAGTAAAACTACGTGAAGTCACAGGAACTGAACTTTCTTTGAAGGAGACTTTTCCCATGTGTTTGTGTGAGAGAGCATATTTTATCTGGAGATATTTTCTAGCTCATTGTTCTTGAGAGATCAGTTGCTTGCCCTTAAATTAGATCCAAAAGAAGAATGTGCATGGCTAAGTTAAAAGGCCAAGTCCCCAGGACCATGGACTAGTGGTAAAGCACATCGTTTGCATTCAGTATTGGAGTAGATGAATCAATAGTCTGATTCAACAGAGTCTTCTTATTAAAAATATTTTATTTATACTCATAAAGCATGTAAAATCTAACTATTTAAGCAATTTCTTTGTGGAATAGTAAAAACTCTATTGATTTTAAGTCAGGAATTAGTAATCCAATTCAGAATACATTTTTAAAATCCATACAAATTAAATGAAGCCACTAAAAAGGTGGCAGCCATTTGGTTTCAGGTTTTTGATTGCTGTGGTATGCCTGAGATCATCAAGAATGAGGAATAAGGATTGATAAAATGGAACAGCATGAAATGGCTAATCCCACTACCAGATGAGTCCATAGTTGGTTGAACAACCATAGGAAACATGTGGTTCTTAATTAATCTATGTCTACGTGGAGGGAGGTACACAGTGGGATCTACATCTAGTGTTGGGTTACCACAATACAAGAAGAATACTGAGAAACTGGAAGGAGTATAGAGAAGAACAACAAAGATGGTGAGAGGCTTAGAGGCTAAATCCTATGAATAATGATTAAAAGAATTGGATATGTCTAGCCTAAAGAAGAGAAGACTAAGAGGAAACTTGACAGTGGTCTTCTAATGCTTGAAGGACTGTCACAGGGAATAGGGTGTTGAATTATTCTCTGTAGTGCTCAAAGGTAGGAGAAGAACCAAAGACTTTACAGAGAGAGACCCAAATTCAAATTGAAAAGGAATTTCATGACTATGAAAGCTATTAAGGAGTAAAACAGCCTGCCTCCTGGAGTCATGGATGACAAGTCTAATAATTCCTGCTCTGAGCAGAGGGAAGACTAGAAGACCTCCAAAGTCCCTTTCAACCCTATGATTTTATGATAATGTGCTTGAGAAAAAATGACCATAGGCAAAATGAGTGGAGGAAGGCAGAAGATTTGAGAATAAATGCACTGAACTCTTGACTAGATTAGCACCTAATCAAGAACACGGGCCACGTATCAACAGGGGTATACTTATTTCACCCAAATATTTAGCCATACTGAGAGATTCAATTAAAGCTTTGGTTCATTTTTTTTCTCTGTCTCCTTATCCATCTACTCCAAACATGTTAACTGGGTTACTTGAGGGACTGTGTCTCCCTAGTTGTTTGCACCCATCCAATCCAGTCCACCAAGATGGGCATTCTTTGGGTTCCATCAGCTAAGAAATGTTGGTTGGTGGGGCTAAGAAGATATGCCTTTTCTGCCCTAGCACTTGACCTATGAAACATTCTCTCTCCGGAGATCAGTATGGCCCTGATCCTGCTGGCTTTTTGTAAGGCCCTAAAGACCTGATTCTGTGCCCAGGGCTGGGGCCCTGAGTATGTGAAAGGACCAGTCTCTTGGCTGTATTAGCACTGTTGATTGTGATGTTTTCCTTACCTGCGATGCATTTTAATTTTTGGATGCATGGTGTAATTGTTTTTAATTTTACTTGGTATTTTCACCACCTAGAGTCACTTGTTGAGATGGACTGATTATTTAAATTGATTAAATAAATAAAATTTATTTAAAGATAAAGAGGAAAGACTTATATAAAGTATATACCTTTGGCCATCATTGAGGCTGTTTTGCCACAAGGGTTAAAATATCCTCCCACAAACACCAACTCCCGTACATTTGGAACTCCTGATATCAGGACTGAAAGGAACTTTTTTGTAGCTAGACATTTTTTTAAAGAATTTCTAGTCTTTTATCTGTCATTTTCACTTTAACTCAGATGAATTCTCTAACAGTTGTCATTAAAGGGTGTTAAAAGGGTTGCTAGTTTATCCTTAATTAACTCATGAATGTGCCTTTTGCTCACATCCAAGGGTACATGTATGAGTTGTCCAAAATCAAATCAGTTATTTCTTTTTAACACCCTTTAATGATTTTATGATTGATTAAGAGTATTCACTTGGCTTGAGTGAAATGATCCTGTTATATTCACAACTGCCAAAGTAGGTGAAGAGTGTGGAATTTCCTGCCTACATCTATTCCCACCCCATCATTCATCTCTCTGTGTGAAGCAGAAATTCTATTCTGCAGGAATTAACAGAGGATTTCACACTTTGCTGGATGAGAAGATGATCTCAAGAAAGCCATTTAAAACATCAGATTAGGGGGGAAAAAAACAGGAAATTTTCTGTATTGCTAAAGATGTTATAGGAAACACACACACAAAATTCTCTTTCCAGTAGTGCAGGCTGGCTGCTCCTTTACTTAAGTTACTGACTGGAAAATAATCCATCTTCCCACATCAGCAGTGAAAGATAATTGCCTGGCAGAACTCAAACCAAAAGTTTACTAAAAAGGAATAATGCAGATGATAGGAATTTGTGTCAGGCATCAAGTTCCAAATCCATTTCAGTAGCAACTTCATTCTGTGCTTGCTTAGTATGAATTCCAATTGAATTCAGTGAGATTTCTATCTGGTATTTAATTCTATATATCAGCAGTGAAGTCATTCTAGCTGCATCTGATGTAGCCAAACATATACTCAAGAGGGAGTATTATCAGACTTGGAGAAACCCCAAGATTTGCAGAAGTAGGAAAAGAGCCAATAAATAAGTTAGGAAAACAGCCCAGCGAAGACAGAACATGCTTAGTGGCCAGAGAGGGGAAGGAAGGAAGGAAGGAAGGAAGGAAGGAAGGAAGGAAGGAAGGAAGGAAGGAAGGAAGGGAATTTTACAGAAAAGTGCTAGCTGACTGACTGCAACTCTAAAAACAATAATATCACTTGCATTTTGCTCCATTTCCAGCCTATAATACTTACAATATATTTGATTCCTCTTCTTACCCTGTTTCATAAATGTAAGTAATCAAATTCTGGAGTGAGTTGATCAGTAGCAAATGTAAAAAGATAGATTTATTTAAAATATATAAGCATACACTAAATGTCTGTTACTGTTTAATAGAGGATTCCATGATCTAACCAAAGAAGAAAAAAATGCAAGGTGTGACTGGCATCATCATTCCCAGCTAACTTCGAAAGGAGATCTTTTTCTTCTAGAAGAACTCCAAAGATGTAGCAGGTATTTTTGCAGCAAACTTTATTCTTAAAGCTAACACAGAATCCTAGAATATGTAAAGTAATGAGCATGAGAGGCACAAATTGCTTTTCCCAAGGCCTCTTTTCCTATAGCCAGTTCTAATTACAGAGGATATAAATGGAGCCCTCATTTGGCCCCAAGGCCCTTTCTCAAAGTGAGAAATCTAGCAAATTTGGAAGGCACCAGGTTAGAGGAAAAGACTTTGAACACATATATGGAATGTTTTTGTTTGGGACTTTTGTTTCTTCTAGTAACTGATTTTCAAAGTGAATTCAAAAATGTAGACTGTCACGTTCCAAATCAACTATCTTCTGATGCAGTTTGTCTCACATAGTAGAGTCATCTATCAGTATATGTATTCATTCTGATCTTTTAAAGACATTGATTCCTGCAAGGCAAGAATTTGTTTTTAAGAAGGATTGATCTTTGATCAAATTAATCAAGCTATGCCAAATTCTTTCCTGACTTGCTTTCTTTTAATTAGTTTTTTTTTCTGTCTCAGTAATCAATTAGGGCCTTGTGTTTATTCACCCTTAACAATTATTATCTCCGCCTTAGGGATTGAAATAAACAAACTTCTCTAGTACCTCCTTATAAAAGGAGTATTTTCATGGAGGCCAGTCAAAGCTATTCATTATCCAGTCTTTCAGTAAACACATCATGTTGTTCAAGTAATAATGACCCATAAAAGAAGTTGAAGCCAATCTAAAGATACCCCTTAATTATATAACATTAGACTATTAGACAGTGATTTATAGAGATCACAAATCAATTCTGGTCTATGCATAAATGCAATGGCATATTGTGTTATAACAAAAGAACCCCCATTTTATAAAAACTTCCAGTATATTCATTATTAGAACTTCTGAAAAGGCAGTATCAGCAGCCAATGTTATTATATTAAGCATAGCTGCAGGTTGAAGAATTTTGGTTTGATAGTTTGATAAGTATGAATGTAGCTCAGTAGGGAAACACTTGCTTTGAAACAGAAAGGTCCAGGTTCAATCCACAGCCTTTCCAGGGAGCATTGGAAAAATTCCTACCTGAAACTCTACAGAGCTGGCGATATTCAGTATCAACAATATTAGGATGAGGTTCTTAACAAAGGTCAACCCATAGTTTTCACTTCAGGCACAAATGACCAGGCTCAATTTTTGCTACTTTGGACACATCATGTGAAGACCCAGCTCTCTGGAGAAGGCTGTAATGCTGGGAAAGGTGGAAGGAAAGAGAAGAGGATGACCAGCAGCAAGGTGGATGGACTCAGTTACTGTGGTGATGAGTCCACCACTGGGAGGCTTGAAAGAACAGGTTAGGGCTAGATCATCATGGAGAAAATTTTTATTTATTTATTCATTTAAATTCATTTAAATATATTGACCACCCATCTCCAGTGGACTCTGGATGGTGCACAGAACTAAAAGAGACATGAAAACAATTAAAAGTATTAAATCAACACACAGCCTGGACTAACATACTCTAATAACAAAATCCAGAAAACAAAACAAGGGTCATTAAATAAGTAGCAAACATCAACTCCAGGCCTGGGACCAAAGTCAGGTTTTCAAGCTTTTTGGGACCCTAGGAGAGAGGGTGCTGCCCTTATCTCTGGGGGGATGCTGTTTCTAGAGGGTGAGGGCTACAACCGAGAAGGCATTCTTCCTAGGTCCCACAAGAGGGCAACATTTAATGGAGTGCACTGACTCTGCTGGAATGTACTGTGTGGGCAGAAACACATGGAGACAAGCAGTCTCTCAGGTATCCAGGCCCTATGCCATTCAGGGCTTTATAGGTAAGAACCAGCACCTTGAATTGTACTTGAAAGCCAACTGGCAGCCAGTGCAACTCATGTAGCAGTGGTGACACATGGGCACACTGAGAGGCACTTGTTACTGCTCACACCACTGCATTGTGAATAGCTGTAGCTTCCAGGTGGTCTTCAAGGGCAGCCCACACCACAATAATTCAATTTTGAAATGACTATCTGAAGGCCTTCTGATTGAGGAAAGGGTGCAAGATGAACCTGTGCAAAGGCCCTCCTGGCCATAGCTGCCACCTGCTCCTTGAGCAGTAGCTGTGAGTCCAGAAGGACCCCTAATCTGAACACGAATCTTGACTGGGGAAGTGCAGTCCCATCCAAGACCAAAGATGGTGATATCTCCGGCCCAGGGGATCCAAACAGCCACAGCCACTTAGTTTTGTTAGGCTTGCCCCATCTAGACCTGAACAGCCTCCAGGCACTGGATCAATACATTGACAGCTTCACCTGTGCCACTCGGGGTAGAAATGTAAAGCTGGTTATCATCAGCATACTGATGATACCATGCCCTAACCTGGCAGATTACCTCACCCAGTAGTTTCATGTAAATGTTGAACAGGAAAGGGGAGAGAATCAAGCCCTGAGGCACCCCACACATGGGGGCTGTGGATGCAGTCTCCCCCCCCCCCCCCCATACACCCGTGACGGGACCCAACACTGGAGGGGGGAGGGGAAGGACTGGAGAAGAGTGCCTACTGTTCCGAACCGCCATAGCTGGTCCAGAAGATACTGTGGTTGACAGTACTGAAGGCCACTAAACACTAGGAGCACTGGGGAGGATGTACCACCCCATCCCAGTTCTGCTAAAGGTCAAGAAGCACAATTAATGCTGTCTCTGTACTGTACCCTGGCCTGAAGCCAGAGTGAAATGAGTCCAGATAATCTGTTTCCTCCAAGATCCTCTGTAGCTGTTGTCCAATCAACTTTTCCACAAACTTTGCCAGAGAAGGAAAGTTGGAAATTGGCTG